TTTTTTTTATTAACTGTAGTGTATAACAACAGAGTCGTTGGCAACAAAGTCTTCAAAAATCTTTTGTACTTGGTAGTTGGCAGTGCATATTTCAAAAAAAGAATGCATGATCAAATCATGAAAATATTCCGATAGTTTCTGATCAGAAACAAATTTTAAGGCAGTTGTGCACCTACACACGATCTTATTTACCTTTCGACCCGAAATGTCGTTTATTCAATGGAGTAAAGAAGATAGGTACGCAATAGGTATAATGCTAAAAACATTTTTGAAAGTGAAAAAATTTCCGCCTCGAAAAATTTTGGTTAAACAGTATTTATTCATAATCTACTACGGACCACTCGAATAATAACAGACAGACCAGTTTCCAATTTACTCGATTTAGTTTACAATTGTATCAGTAGATAACACAACGAGTTAGCAATTGACGCGTCACCTACACACCTGCAAATAAATTTATGAACAAATCAATTGTGCGTGGGCTGTTGACGAAACAGGTGTGTGTTAGTGTCCTACGTTAACCATTTTACCATCGAATAAAGTCATATTTATCGAAGGGGTAAGTTTGAAATGAAATTCTAAAAACCTGGACACTATCTCCATTATTGCTTAATGCCTTAGTGAAAGCAAAATTTAGTTTTTAAATACTAAATTAAATGCACATGTGGTTTCTTCTAATTTTGTGTGATAAGATTCATTTGGATATTAATTATAATTCTGTTCATAATCGCCATGTGGCAAGTATTTCATAGCTTTTACTTTGTTTTAGTTGGACCAAAACTATCTACAAAGCGAGCTTCAAAGGTGAGTTTTTTTGAATTATTAAACGCTTGCGATGTTCCCATTGCGCAAAAGAAACGGTAGTTTGTACTAAAACGACAAGTGTCCTAACATTCTTTGCGTAAAGTTAAAATTAAAAATTTTTTCCCTCTTGTTCAGTCCATCCGGGGACACACTGTATATTATGCACTGAATTACGCCATGTTAAATTTAATATCTGGTTCGGAATGGGAAATTGACTTCGAATGAAACCCTCAAAAGTTCGATCATTTTGAATTTAATTTCCACGTCGTAGGTTGGGTTTGGAGGTTAAATTGAAAATTACCGTTCGCAAACGACATCTAACTTATCATCATTTGTCGTATCTAACATCGGCAATTGTATAGGTACCCATTAATAAACGATTTTATAAAATCATAATTCTATTGAGATGATTGTTCGAGCAATCGTTTGTATAAAAGTCATATGTTAGTTAAACTTATTGAATAGATGAAAGACTGACTTTATAACACATTTAGTCCAGTCAACCAAGCAGGTGTAGCGTGTGTGAGCAGGTACCTAAGCGATATTTTAAGAAATTTGTTCACAGTGCTTACAAAAAGTCCTGATGCCTAGGTGGCAAGTGGAGGGAAAGGCATAGTTTTTTTTTTGGCTTGGACTATTTGTCATTCGGCCAGTCGCATGGTGGTTATTTATTTATGATTTTTTTATAGCCGTATATTTGCTTCATAATTTTACATTTTCCCCTATGATGAACCATTTTCAATACATAATCGGAAAATTCAAAAATGGTACCTGTCACCTCGTCCCTCAACTCCCCACCTAGGTGTCGGGACTTTTAGCATGTTCATTACCGAAGCACCGAATCGTAAAACTAATGCCGATTCAAAAAAATTATTTTACAAGCTATGCTGATTTGGTGGGACAGAATCAACCCCTTAAGGTGTGTTTTAGAAATGATGGATGCGTGAAGATCTCGAGGACCGTTCGGTATTCAGTTGTACCGGATCTTTTTAAATCAAATAAAAGAGCTTAAGATCAAAATTCTCACTTTTAGTTCGATTTGGGGGTTTACTTGATTTTTTATGAAACATTATGCTGGAGAACGGGTATGTCATACGTTTTATCCATCTTGGAATTGATTGAACTTTAGTTTGTATTAGCCAAACTCACACTCTGGTTACTATTTTGTACACTAACTATCACTACAGTTGACCGATGTCAAAATTTTGAAATTCAAAACCGAAAAGTAAAATTATTATGCATTTTTTTATTTCAGTTTTCACTTTAATATTTTTGATTCTGTATTCTATATTTAAGAGTCGAATCATCCGGGGGTGAATTTTTAGGGACGAATTTTCTGAAGGCGAAATTAGCGGACTAAATCTTTCTACAACCAATTTGATCTTTGGATATCGAAATAAAGAGTTTGGACCTGTTTTCAACCAAATTCATTGCATAAGTAACGATGAAAATTTACGTTATCTTAAATCAAATTAACGTCCCGGCAGTATTCTTTGGTCTCGAACATCTGTGGTGATATAGTACATTAAAAATGGTGTAAAAATTCCGTTGATCTGGGCAAAATTACAACAGAAATGATTCTTTTTGCATGTTATTTTGAGAAGTTATATTTTAACGTATGCAAAATCCCCGGAAATTAGTCAAAGTTTAAGATGTCGGATAAATGTTGTATTTCCTTATTTAAACATTTATAACTTCTTGATTTCAATCAAATGCGTCTCAAATGTTTAAAATATAAACATAAGTATAAAGAAATAGCCACTGACACCATTTTTTTAAATCGCAGCCATTTAAATATTTATGTATTTAGCTTTGAAATATTAAAATGGCGGACATTTTGATAATAATGAAATACAGTGTATGGTTATTTTTTGTACTTTTATTTATGTATATAAATGAGATGATGGTGGGTTTGATCACTCACATTACTATTATACAGAGAAAGCCTTATTACATATTAGAATCCATTATTTCGAATTGACCCATTTTTCATTATTGAACAAAGATTAAAACGATTTGGCTGTTTTTTTCAAAATTTCGATTTCTTCATCTTGTACTCGCTGTGTATAATATTTTCACAACTTGCTCATTGACACTGACCACATGAACTATAGTAGGTACTTTGTCAATACTATTTTAATACGTAAGTGCGTTGTATCCTGACTTTCCACAAAAAATACATATACCATTATCCTCAACCTGACAGGGATTAAAAGTTTGTTGAGCTAAGGAAACTATAGTGCGATTACTTTCCAATATGGAATATTCTTGAGGAGGTGTCACATCCTGTATACGAATGTATCAAGAATAAATCCTTCTCAAGCATTGATATCAGAAATGATATTCTGTTTGGAAAATTATTTATCACTTCTGAAAAACAGCACGTGGTACTATGTTTGATTACACCAATAAATCAGCAATATCAATAATAATTTAATGATTCGCAAAAGTACAATGTAAATGGCATGCTTTAATACATAAGACCTTTTCTGAATGCCATTTAAATATTTCAAACCTATATTCCTATATTATTTAAATAGCCGTAATCAGTGGTTATTTCTTATACTTTTATCTTTGTATTTTAAACATTTTTGCTTATTTTTTGTTCATTGAAATAACAAAGTTATGAATTTTTAAATGAAAAATACAGAGTAAGCCGCCATCTAGGATGTTGACTGATTTCCTGCCTGCGGATTTTGAATATGTTAAAACAGGCACTTCTCACAGTACAATGCAAAAAGAATCATTAATTTGTTGTTGCAATTTTGCTCAGGTCATAATTTATTTTTACTGCACTAATAGTGATTGTCAAAGACTAAAAATATCATTAGGGAATTCTGACAGACAGACCGAAAGTATTATATTTTATAAAGAACGGTTTTACTTCTTATATACCATAATCAACAAAAAGACTCTATGGGTTTTGTTTTTGATTGTAGAAATAATTATATTTTTACGCTTTCAACTTTTGATATAATAGGTTCAGCATTTTCCGCATCCATTGCACATTTAACCATATGCTTAATTCGGCCCCTGATGGTCAAAAGTGTTTTGCATGCATCCATTTCGCTAAAAAACACAATACACCCCCATAGCCATTTTTTAATATATGCTCAACAGATTATGTTGGAATGTATTTAAAATAATATGCAAGCGACTTTACTACCTATCTAACAAGTATCGGTAATCTTAATTACTTCATCTGTTAATGAAGCTACCGTTGCCGTATCTTCATCAGCTCGCCTTCATGGTAATATTGTGATTACTGAGCATGAAATGAGCCCTATTCATAGTACCACAGGTGCGAAAAAGGAAAACGTGCTTAGGTTTAAATTTGTCTTGTGCGTAGTGAATCAATCTTTAACATTGCTACGGTTAGATTACCGAAGTAGTTTTTATGCGACCGTGTATAAAAAAACCTCAATTTGTTTAAGCCAACGTTAAAGAATAAACCTTCCCCTATCAGCAATAATATAATATCATAATCACACCAGCAATAAATTGAGTTCTGAAATAGTTATTTGTACAACTAGAGAAGAAAGTGTTTCTCAACTCGTGTGTCAAAGTTTGAACTCGAGTGGAAAAACTCCACTTTCTTCTTAAGTTTTACACATAATTTTTTCTGAAATAGAAAAATGTTGCAGTTTGACACATAGCAATCTAGATAGGGATATGTTTCAATTCTAAACGTCATTATTAAGATTAACGCAGCAATTGTTTTTTACTTTCATCACTAGAGAGGAAAATCACATTTTCTTCACTCTTTTTAGGGACGAAAGTGGTTGTTTCTAAAGTAGTTACATAAAAATAATAAATTTATTTCATGCTGTGAAAATTCAGCATTGCGTCTTCAAGAAACCGGAGTGGTTTATTTTGATTGACATTTGAATTTTTGCCAAATACGTACCTATATCAGTCAAAATAAACTATGCAGTTTCTTCATACCGTTAGCATTTAATATCAAAAATAGCACATATTAGCAAAAATAGCAATAGGGATTTTCATTTCTACCTTGAATATGACAATGTAAATTTGAAAGTGTTTCTCAATAAGACTTCTTAATAACGTTTTTACCGTTGGATCATGATCACATAGGTCGTGAAGTTTTCAAAAATTACTTAACATTTTTGCCACGCATTTTTCTATCTTAGATAAATTTAATTTAAGGGTATCGAAACTTAATTATTGATACTTGCCTGTGTCTGAAGAAGAAGCATACTTGACTGGGGACTGCTTGAGGCGGAAGGCTGCGCGCTCGCAGCCACCAGTGGGGCACCTGATACTTCGCCTTGTATTAAAACTGTACCTGCAAAGATGAACACCCATGAGACATCATCTCATTTTTTATAATCATTGCGTTAACAAACCATTAGTGCATGTGGTAGCAAGCATTATTTCTACATTACAGCGACCAAATCGGTAGTCTATTCACGTAAATTTTTACAACGCACTAATTGAAAATTTTGAAAAAGTTACGACATAATTACAATACTAAGCCTCTATGATTACAAGGCGGTGATCTACAAAACGAATGCGATACATTACGATGTATATATAATTATTTCCGTACGTGTTCATTACCGTAGTTTTTCTGACCGAGGCGAATCGCGAAATGTTCGACTCGCGAATAAACTTACCGATGATGTAGTTACGGCTTTTATACTAGAGATATTATAGATATAGGCGAGCTTGTGTATTAGATATGATTATCCCATGAGACTTTAAAAGTCAGTGATATTTAAAGCCCCCGTAGTAATCAGGGCGGCTATGAAACGCAAAGTTATGGCCCGTAACGAAACGCCCTGAATAGGGTCGAGTATAACCCCATACTTGATTAAGTGAGGATTTATGTCGTAAATAGAAAGAAAGCATATTGTGACGTTCCGTTTTTCGAGTGTCGGTTTTATTAATTTGCTAAATCGAGTTTTGATTGCCGGAAAATCCATTGGGAAATTAAGGTGAATCATAAAGCTTCCGTTTATTTTCTACTTTGGTCCCATTGAGAACAAAAAGCTTTATTAGCACACTTTGACGATTCCAGTTACCAACCTTGTTTTTTGTAATTACGCAGTTTAACTGCCCCTGTTGAAGTCCCATGGTCTCCAGTCTCGTCTTCAGTCCACGTTTTCAATTGGTATAGCCATAATGAACATACAGGACTTTCCGACTGCACCGTCATAAAATTGAGCAAGCTCTATCAAAAGAGAGATAAGAATGCTCGGCTGTAACGCAAACATATTCAATAAAATGTTGTGCCCCCCCCCCTCCTCGATCCTCGATACTTTGGAGAAACCCAGAGTGTAAAACCGCTATTAAGGACCCCAAAAAAGCTTTCCGCAATTACAGAAAGAACTCCAGTGAAGAAAATGGCATCCTGTTAAAAAATGAGAGCTGTAGATCGTGGTACGGTTAAAAAACAGTAAAAGGGACAGCTGGGTTTCAACAATCAACGAGAGCATAATTCTGTTCATAGTAATCAGGGGTGGATGGGAACCATAAAGCGATCCGTGAAATACACATTGTCGGCAAAAAATTGTTATGGTATGCCTATAAAAGTGTACAATAAATTGCCTAGAAAGATTAAAAACATTCTATCAGCTTTACATTTTAAAAACGCGGTGACAAAGATGCTTATTGAAAAAAGTTATTATTCCCTTAAGGAATATTTAGATTATAAACCAATTCGAATTTGTATGTTCTATTTCTTTTGTTATTTGTGTTTACTGACTGTATTTCTATTGTAATGAGTAATGAGTTATCCCACAACGATCAAGTTCAAGGGACGAATAAAAATTATTATTATTATTATTATTATACCTACCTATCGGCCCACTTTGTGGGTGGAGGAGAGGATACTCAATGCCCCCTAACTTTAAAACATTAATGCTTTTTCTAACACTGATTGTTGATAATTATTTCCCAACAACATAAATGCTTCTAGATTATTGTTACACAATCTGTTCCTTAATCGATTTTTTATACATTTCAGAATTGCAAAAGAATAAGTTAACAGGTACTGATGTGCATTAGCGAGTGCCGAATATTAGAACGTAAATTTCAGTACGTAATTTATTTATTCACAATTAATCATTTAATCAATTAATTAATTTATGAGTCTAACACTACTTTTACTGATGTGCATTAGCGAGTACCGAATATTAGAACGTAAATTTCAGTACGTAATTTATTTATTCACAATTAATCATTTAATCAATTAATTAATTTATGAGTCTAACACTACTTTTACTGATGTGCATTAGCGAGTACCGAATATTAGAACGTAAATTTCAGTACGTAATTTATTTATTCACGATTAATCATTTAATTAATTAATTAATTTATTTATTACTTCGGTGTTGAAATTGGAACTAACCGAAATTCTTCTTCTTTCATGGCGTCTTGGGATTTCTAGAATATTGGCTACCATGTTTCTTGCTATAAATTCTACTGGTAATCGCACTACAATAACAGTATCTAGAACATTTTTGACAACTATCACAAACGGCATTTTTAAAGAAATCATCTATGTACATTTTGTTTTTTACCTGTATCGTTCGAAAGCAATGTGGTCGACAATTTTCATACATTTTTTTTCAAGAAATCCCCGACAGGATCTTAAAATTTCTTCTCGTAATCGAACTGGTGTTGTAAGATCATTAAATGGTAACATTCTTTTCCAACGTTTTTCCAGTAGATGATTGGGCAATATGCTTCATTTTTAATATCAGGGAAATTATGTGAATTTAAAGAGGAAAGATCCAAACATAAAGCTGTATACTTTGTGAAAGTCGATTCAATGGCTTGATTTTGAGAGTCTGAACATAGCAATGATCAATTGTCTTCCAATTTACTCATTTAAATATCCTTATTAGTTGTTTCATTTTTAGCGCATCATTTAGCGTAGTGTGATTAACAACTTAATGAATGCGATCAGCGACATCTGGGCGCCATCCCCGAGCGTGTTGTACTAACGTGTTGATTTTTCCTATTTTCTTCTACAGAGTTGGTCCGATTGTTTTGTAACGCCCGCGCCTTCGAGGGATAGTCGACTGTGGGAACCCAAAAGTTTCTTAAGAGCTCGAATCGCGGTCTCTCTTTCTCGGGTCGCCAATAAAAGGTCGTTTTTAGTTCATTCGAGAATAGGATTTTTTTCTGCGCTATCCGTTGGCAACATCATGGATCTCGACTCAAAAGACTCAAACGCACCAGCCCATATCGCTTTCCCCGTGACCAATTTTTTGGCCAATTCAAAGGTACCACGATTTCCCAACCACCCTACAGTCCTGACCTAGCTCCCCGCACGTTTTTCTGTTCCCTCGCTTGAAAACTCCTTTGGAAGGTCATCATTTCGGAACAGTAGGAATGTCAAAGAGGTTCTTTGCACCCAGGCTCTAAAGGAGATTCCGAAGGAGTCCTTCCATGACGCCTTTGATGCCTGAAAATCTCGCTGAAAGCTCTGTATCAATGCGGGGGGGGGGATATTTTGAAAACTTTTAATGTTGTAGAAGGACCTAGAAGTCCTCGTGTGAGATCGAAGGGACTTCAGCGCATTTTTGTGTGGCAGATCAGTATTCTATTAGCCACTTTTGACTCAACCATGAATAAAAGATCTTGTCGAAGGATACCACATTCCCTTTGACGGTACCCACTTCCGACGTCCCGTTCACCCGAAATTCGCGTTTGAAGATTTGACTACACCATCAGTAAGATAGTGTCGGGGGCTACCACATTCCCTTTGACGGTACCCACTTCCGACGTCCCGTTCACCCGCAATTCGCGTTTGCAGATTTTTCTCCACCATCAGTTGGATCTTGTCGGAGGCTACCACATTTCCTTTTTCGTTACATACTTATATTACACCCACATTTAGGTGGATCTCGCTAAAAACCTTCCACAAGATAGTACTTAATTTTTGGGGGGCACTTCTCATTGCTCGAGCTTCTATTGGCGACACGAGAAAGAGAGACAGCCATTCGAGATTTACGAAACGTTAAAACGCGTGACAGAATTCGCAACGGAAGGTAAAAGGCGCCCGAAGTTGGCTACCTCTCGAAGACGCGCGCGCGCCTTGCAAAAGGTCGTTAATTTCGCCCCTAGGCCAAAAAACAAAATTCCGCCACGCACGAGTTTTGCGCGTTTATAACATCTTTCCGACGACACCAATTTGAAAAGAATCGGACCAAAACTGTAGTAGAAGATAGGAAAAAACTGAAAAACTTTCACGTTAGTATACTACGCTCGAGGACGACGCCCAGATGTCGCCAACCCCACATCATGTAGCCCTGTCCCCAAGGTTTACAAATTACACGGCTTTGTAGATACACGTACACCCGTTGCCTTTCTACAAGAGTTCTTCTACGCGCCCACATTTGCTGCCAGCCAGCCGACCAGCCAGCCGACCAGCCAGCCAGCCAGCCAGCGAAAGTGAGATTAAAAGCTACTTTTTACAAATAAATTTGCAAAAATGCGCTAAAAACGTTGCTTTGAAGGTATATTCGGTGTTCCTTACAAAATGTTCACCCTGTATAACGGGATAAAAACGTAACCGGTTTGGAAGTTACTACAAATTTTCAATTTTTGGTGGTCAACATTTTGTTTAAATCGAAATATATGGATGACACTTGTAATCTGAAGCGCATCGCTCTGCAGTAGGGGGTTACATGGTATTTGGTTTCCATTGCAAAGAGTAGATACAGAATTGGGATCATTCGGTCTTCTTAATTAACGTAGAAAAAAGCGAAAGTAAAATTTATAGCTTCAAACGCCCCGTTTCTTTCTTCTTCTCTGTTCTCACTACAACCCCTAATATCCTCTACCATCAAACCGAATGCCCTTCTAAAAGTAAGGGAAAGCGAGACCGCTACTTACCCCAATAAAAATGCGTTCGGAATCAATTTGTGTTCAAAATAAAACAATCCGTTTCCAAAAACCGACATCTACCTTTTTATGAGGGGAAATGAGGGCAATGTACTTAATTGTTAAAAAGAGTTAATACTGTGCTAGCCCTTTTTTGATATCTGGTGTGATTTAACTGATTTAAAGAAACATGAGAAGTTCATTTTTTAATTAAATGTTTAAAAGACCTAACCATATTTTGTTTTGGCGAAAATGTAAATAATACGAGGAGTATTTGCCGTCAGGAACTCTTATCACATCCTTCTGAATAGTAAGCGTCGTAACGTGCTTGGAATATCAAGATGTGCGAGAATTTTAGATTGAAATGAACAATTGAGCATGGTCACTTTCTTCCCCAAATTATAAACTGGAAGCAATGTGACCGTTGAACTTATAAAAGGTAAAAGAAGC